GCCAGGGCCTGGGCGGCACAGGGGGGTGATGTGGCAGGGCTGCTCCCGCTCCCGTCATCCCGGCTGGTTGTCCCCGTGCAGGGCAGCCCCTGGCAGGGCTCCGGGCCATGCCCAGGGGTGAGCGCAGCCTCTGGGTGCGCTGGGAGGCCCCACCAGCCCCCCCGGCCGCCTACGTGCTGGAGTGGCAGCGGGTGCCCTCGGAGCCCGAAGGCTGCGGCGTCTGCTGGCAGATGGAGCGTGACGGGGCTGCCACCGCAGCCCTCATCCAGGGTAAGCTGGGGGCGGCCAGGGGGTCTCTGCCCTCCTGGCCAGCTCTGCGGGGGGGCATACGGGGGGGCTGGCACCCCTCCTGACTGCCCCAGCACCAAATCCTGCCCCGAGCCCGCTCCACACACCCCCCCTTCCTCTGCCCCGCTCCCGGGGTGCGGCACAGGGTGGGGGTCTGGTGCCATGGGGCAGGTGTGGGGCAGCCAGAGCCCCGAACCCCCGGCCCCCCCTCTGCTCTCCGCTGCAGATGGCATTGAGCCTTTCCAGCGGTACAACATCTCGGTGTACCCCCTCTACAAGGACACCATCGGGGCGCCCGCCCACACCGCAGCCTACTCTAAGCAGAAGGGTACGTGTGCTGCCAACAGCCGCCCTCGGGGCCCCGGGGGGGTCACCCCACAACACCAAGCCTTTGCCTTTCAAAGCGGGAAGACAGCCTTTCCCCCACGTACCCCTAACTCAGGGGCTGTGCAGAAGAGCCCGGCCCACTGGGCTGGACCTTGGCTGATCTCTGGAGGGGCTCTCATCCGGACCGAGCCCCACGGGGGCACAGCGTGGGGCAGGGCCTGACGCCCACACCTCGGGAGTGGGACTGGGTGCATCCCCTGCACCCCGAGGCAGCGGCTCTGCACAGCGTGTCCTGCTCCATTTCAGCACCGTCCTACGCCCCAAAGCTCCACCTGAAGAGCATCAGCAAGTCCGACGCTGAGCTGTGCTGGGACCCGGTGCCGGTGGAGATGCAGAACGGTTTTATCACCAGCTACACCATCTTCTGGGCCAACAGCACCGCAGAAGTGTCCAGTGAGTCCTGCCCGCATCAGCGCCAGCCCTGCCCGCCAGCCCGCCTCCATGCTGGGTGGGACACCAGCAGAGCCCGTGCACCCATCAGAGAGGGTGGGGGAAAGCCAAGGGGCCGTGCAGGCGAGGGGCAGCTGCCCTGCTGACACCTGCCACGCTTCCCCAGGCGCCGCTGTGAATCCGTCTCTCAGCTCCTTTGTCATCCGGGAGCTGAAGCCATCGACCCTGTACAAAGTGCACATCATGGCGTCCACAGCCGCCGGCGGCACCAATGGCACCAGCCTGACCCTGGTGACTACGGTGCTCGGTGAGGGGGGGTGAAGGGACGGGAGGGGACCCACCAGACCCCGAGTCCTGCCCTGCCCTCACGGCACAGCGCGGCCGGAGGCGCCCCACCATGGTTCCCGCCGTGACCATCTCCCCTGCCCACTTCCCAGATGACATCGAAATCCAGTTCCTGTTCCTGACCCTGGGGCTGACCTTTGTCTTGCTCATACTTTTGCTCATCTGTTTCCAGAAGAACGGGCGGTGAGTACCAAGAGCTGCCGCGGGCTGGACCAGCCCCACACCGGGCTGAGCCGCCCTGGGAGTCCCTGTCCCCAGAGGCTGCAGTGGTGTGGCCACAGCCCCAGGGGGGGACACAGGGAGCCGTTGCATCCCGCTGGGAGCTCAGCAGAAGGCAGGCCAGCCCCCAGGCCGCCGGTTTCAGGCCCCTCGCTGAGTTCCCTCGTCCTGTGGCTGCCAGGGTGAAGCAGCAGTTCTGGCCCAGCGTCCCCGACCCCGCCAACAGCAGCCTGGGCAAGTGGGTCCCAGCAGAGCTCCAGCAGGTGAGACCCTGACAGCTGCTCCCCCCGGCCCCCCGCTCGGCACAGAGGGCACGTCCCATCCCTCACGTGGTGCTGGGCAGGGGGGGCAGAGGAAGCCCCCCACCTTGCAGGGAGGCCGTGACCACATGCCGTTCCTCCAGGAGCCTCTGCAGGTCCCCGGCGTGAGGGAGCCTGGCCTGGCCACCATTTCCACCGTCACAGTGCTCGAAAGGGCGGCGGGCAAGCAGCCACCCACCCGGGGCAAGGAGCCCACCACCGAGCCCACCGGCAGCCCCCCTGCCCTGGCCCAGCCCTACGTGCGGCAGGAGGGCCCCGGCACGCCGGACCGTGGCT